GGCCTTCTCTCGCCGGCCGGGGACTGCCGGAGCCAGCCTACCTAATCCGAAGTGGCGGCCTCGTAGTCCTCCTCCTTGGAAATGGCGGCGAGAACTGAAGTTGTCTGGCTTGGGGGGGAGCGGCGGGCGGGAGGAGGCCGCGGCCTTCTCTCGCCGGCCGGGGACTGCCGGAGCCAGCCTACCTAATCCGAAGTGGCGGCCTCGTAGTCCTCCTCCTTGGAAATGGCGGCGAGAACTGAAGTTGGTTATTCGGGGTAGTGGTGGTGTGGGCGGGACCCGGGTTTCTCCTTCTCATTGGTCCCCATCTCTCCCTTATAATAACTGACAGTTTTATCAGCCATACACTAACGGGGCGCATTTTAGAATTTTGGCACCCACTATTCAATTATTATAAGGGAGAGATAGCTGTGTCAGATAGGACAACACAATTTCATGAAAGCTGTTTGGAGCAGTGTTAGAGTGTGCTCAAGAAAATGAACAGGGCCAGGGCTTTTTTTGTAGAAAAATCCCAACAGGAACTCATTAACATAATAGGCCACACCCAATAGCAGGAACTAATTAGCATATTAGGCCACACCCCATGCCTTCCCTTGGCTTGCCTGAGTGCCCTTGGTGGGGAGGGGAGGCACAGGGAGGCATTTAAATGCCTCCCCGTTCCTTCCAGGGGCCCCCTGGCCCGCCTGCTTTGGAGTTGCCGGGGGGGGTCACTCTCCAGGCCTTCCCTCTGTAGCCATGCACGTGGAAGTTTTTGCTGTAGTGCTCGTGGCCAACTCTGAAGCCAGCTGGAACTCCGTTCCTGTGCGTTCTTGCCCAAAAATAGCCCTGAAGAGGGCTGAAGCGTTTACACCTTCTTTGCTGACAATTGTGTAATATTCACAATGGATACAGTGAAACTGTAGAACTACTGCACCAACTTTTGCATGGCTTCAGGTGGGAAAGAAAAACATTGAAGATGACATGTGTTATGTCTTTATCTGTATTATACATTCCATGAAAGACCTTAAGACCTGGAGAAGGATTGTAAGCTGGAACGATCCTATTGGCTAATGTACGAATGTACCCAATCAGAGTGCAGAGAAATGTTCAAGAGGGAACTGATCTGATTGGATGTTATCTTTGTAATGCCATTGGTCTTTAACTGTTCTAGGGCGTGGCTACACCAGCCCGGGATAGTTTAAAAGGAGCCCTGCTCCACTGTTTGTTGTTGTGTGTTCTTCACTGTTCCTGTTTGAAATCAATAAAGCTGATTCACTGTTACTTACGAGACGGCGTTGAGTCAATACTTAACAACGTGGATGCAAAATGAATCTTGCATGATGAATCTCATAGTAAATGGGACAGAAATGGAAGAAGTTAACAAATACATTTGCCTGGGTCAACAGCTCAATTATGCCAACTCATTCAAAGCTGATTTAGGAGGGGAAGGGAGGTGGTGTGGGCAAATTTAGCCTCTCTGTTGTATGAAGTGCCCATGAAGAAAAGAACGGTTCAACTCCACTGTCCTGTTAGCAGTGGTTTATAGAGAGGAAAGCTGGTCAGCCATTAGTGGATGAGAAAAAACTTGCTGTCACTTAGAGAGCAATGGAAAGGTATCATTTGGAAACGAACAAAAGTAACATTTAATACAAGTGATATACAATGCAAAGCAGAGATGGACAGTCCATGTAGCTCCACAAATAACAGGCAGACACTTGTTGCTATCAGAAACCAACAACAAAAAATCACATCTGGCTGAACCAGTAACTAAGCTTTTGGGCCAGAAATATAAAGAAGCAATAGAACGGAATGGCATGACACAGACGTGCACCTGGAGGGATGGGTGGAGATAAACTGAATAAAGAGATAAAATAAATGGTTTCATGGCTAATTTGTGATGTAATATTTTATTATGTATGACTTTGGAGGTATGGCTGGAAATCTAGATGAACGTTTTAAAAATAATGAGACTAAGTTGTTGTTGTTTTCAATTGCACAGTCGAGTCCGACTCTTCGCAACCCCATGGACCAGGTCACGCCAGGCCCTCCTGTCTTCTGCCGTCCTCTGAAGTTGGCTCAATTTCATGTTCGTTGCATCGATGACACTGTCTAACCATCTCATCCTTTGCCGTCCCCGTCTTCTTTGACCTTCAATCTTTCCCAGCATCAGGGTCTTCTCCAGTGAGTGCTCCCTTCTCATTTGGTGGCCAAAGTATTTGAGCTTCAGTTTCATTATCTGGCCTTCCAGGGAACAGTCAGGGTTGATTTCTTTTAGGATTGACTGATTTGTTCTTCTTGCAGTCCAAGGGACTCTCAAGAGTCTTCTCCAGCACCATAGTTCAAAAGAATCTATTCTTCGGCGCTCGGCCTTCCTTATAGTCCAACTCTCGCAGCCATACATGACTACTGGGAATACCATTGCTTTGACCATGCGGACTTTTGTTGGCAGGGAGATGTCTCTACTTTTTATCATGCTGTTGAGGTTCGCCATCGCTTTCCTCCCAAGGAGCAGGCGTCTTTTAATTTCATGGCTGCTGTCACAGTCTGCGGTGATTTGGGATCCCAGGAACGTGAAGTCTGTCACTACTTCCACGACTTCCCCTTCTATTTGCCAAGGAGTGTTGGGGCCGGATGCCATGATCTTAGTTTTTTTGATGTTGAGCTTCAAGCCCACTTTTGCGCTCTCCTCTTTTACCCTGAGCAAGAGGTTCTTGGTCCTCTTCACTTTCTGCCATTAGAGTGGTATCGTCTGCATATCTGAGGTTGTTGATCTTTTCCCCAGCAATCTTAATTCCCGCTTGTGATTCATCCAGGCCAGCATTTCGCATGACTAAGTTGTTAACGTCCGGTTAATTCACTATAAAAAGGAAACCTGATGTAATGGAGAGGGGGAACTCTTAATATAGACCACATCTTTTGATCATACATTGTGGGCTTTCAAAACTCTTAAGTTATTCATAGATTTTGAAAACACCTATATAAAATTTAATTCATATTTATGTCCTTGGTATGTGATGATAATTTGTTTCCAATTTTTGTTTGATTTTACTGGTGATGCATCAGAATCCAGAACTGAGGAAACTGCATTGGGCGCTTCTTATGGAAATGCACCCTAGATTTTGAATTGGGTCCAAGCCCCTCCAGAATGTGGGTAAGTTCAAATATGACCAATGGAGGGCTACTCTGAGCTCAACCCTTCCCAAATTTACCAAAATGAAGGGGCTGCTTTAAACTTTAGGCCTGGGTCAACTGTACAGCAGTCATGGCAGCATCCAGATGTGCTGGGAAATGCAAAATGTAGTCCCCAGAATTATTAACATCCCTGGTTGCTTCTATGATCATGTGCACATAAGGACTGACAGCTACATTTCTCATCCACTCTAGTATGCTTGGATACTTCTACAAAAATGCTTGTGGCAGGCGGCGTCATCTAGGACTGAAGACGGATGCTTTAACACTGCAGCGAGCCCTCCCTTTCGCTCCCATATCTCTGTAAATCTGGGGAAAGGAGGATGCGGTGAAGGCTTGGGTGGGGCCAGTGGCAGACAGCTGTTAGGATCCTGTTGCACTTCGTTCTGGTGATGGCATGGATAGCATGACAGGGCCTTAAACTGGAGAGGGTTTGAAATTCAAACAGTTTAATTTTAGATGCCCAATAGATATTCATCAGTCTAATCCAATTTCAATAGCACTATTCCAGATTGGAAGGAGTTGTGTCTGGCAACAACTAGTTTATGTTCCCCAGCACATCACTAGGGAACGCTGCTCAAAGACAGGATTATACACCCATCACTCCCACAGAACCCCCAGCTGAGGCCACCCAATATTTCAGAAGCGGAGAGTTCTGCAGGTAACTTGAACGAGAGAGCCAAGCCACGCATTGGAAGATCAAGGTGAGCTCAGGATTAAACATGCATCTTTGAACTAGATAATCAAGGGAGTCATCCTCAACAGGTCTACTCAGAGGTAAGCATCATGTTTTTCAATGGGACTTACTTCCAGGAAAGTGTCCTTACGACTTCTGCCTAAATCTCATCTTTCAAGGTGTACCTGTGTTATGATGGAAACGATCCAGAGAGGTTTTCATACAGATTGCAGAGCATGAGGATCTCTGGCTCCATTCATGTACCCATGCAGTGCTTATCTTTATGGCTTGTATGGCAAGTGCTGCCCTGGCACAGGGATTCCTACAGTTTTCCTCCATGCTTGTTAAATGTATTATTCCCTGGGATTTCAGCACACCATGCAGCACATACGCACACACCCCTAGCTCTGCCTTCCTTCTGTTGGAAGCAGCACCTTTATCTAAAAGCAGGGTCTGAATTCCTCTTGTAATAGTGCTTTTCTCTGTTATGCATCTTCTGCAGCATCTCTCTGACTGTGTGACATCATCACTGACAGAAGCCAATAAGGCCCTTCTTTCTCCTTTCCCTTGAAGAGTGCCGGAGCTGAGCAGCAGCCAGGTCAAACAAGCTGTCATCCCTGCTCAGCCTGTGGGGCCGATGCCGCTGAGTGCTCGGTTGCTAGGGACCCTGTAGGCTTTGGAGAGAGCACACCAGCAAATCCCATGCAGGGAATGGGGACTATCCGGCTGGGGAGAAGGGCGGTGATGTACACAGTGGAAACCATTCCTAAAGGGAAGAACCGAGTGCTGGGGGTGAGTGACAGAACTGGGGGATACTTTGGGGAGGGGGCTCCGTGGGTGTATGGAGAGGCACGAGAGGGGTGGGAGAGACTGGGATGGCTTCACCTGAAATGGCCTCTGATCTTGCTTCCTAATTCCAGGGACAGCATCATTCTAGATTTCTTGTGTGTCTATTATGTGTGAGAGAAAGAGAGAGGGAGAGAGAGAGACGGCAGCAGGGAGAAGTGCTGGGGTCAGAGAATCATCATGGTCTCTTGAACTAATTTGCAGCTCTATTAACCCCCCCCCCCTCGGATTAGTCAGGATTTATGGGCCATTTGGTTGAAATCCCTGTCTAAGGGCAGCTCATTCTCAGGATGATCCCGAGTCCTGACTGGCCATGTGTGTGTGTGCGTCTGTGCATACTGTGTGCATATGTAAGCGAGCGAAATGTTCCCAAGAAGCAGTGATTTTTGAAGCCAGCAAGGAGAGGGGTACGGCACAGCTACCTGCTGCCTCTGGCATACCCAGTGATCTGGGTCTGTGCAGCTGGGAAACAGGTTTCAGTTTACATTTAGAAAGAAGGGTAAGTGTTGCCACTTTCATATATGGAGTGCATGCAGGAGAGCAGCATTGCCCTAGGAACAGGTTTAGGCCTACAAGTGGTGTGGTGTTTACAAGAAAAATGGTTGCCTCAGAGGCTACCAGCCTTGAACGCTAACTGGAACCTCCATATTCAGAGGAAAGTATTCCTCTGAATGATAGATGCTTGGGAGAAGCACCAGGGGAGAGCTGTCAACTTTATGCCCTGCTTGAGGGATCACGAGGAACATCTGGCTGGCCAAAATTGGATCGCAACAGAAGGGATTCTCCGTTTATAGAGACAATAAGCATATGAAAACACTGAGTATGCTAATGCCCGAAGTTGGAAGCAGAATGCCAGATTAGATGGATAGTTGGTCTGATCCAGCAGGCTTATTCATGTCTTGCCTGCGGACTATTTAGGAATGTGGCCTGGGAGCCCTCACCCGTAATCCCAGATATGCATGCACATGTGCTGGCTGTGATTATTTAGTAGTGACTATTTAGTGCTACTCTCTGCTCATGCCAGGACTGTCGTTATTTCCTTTGCTGCAGCCAGAGTTCAGGCCCAGCTTTTAAACTGCATACCTTGAAGAACATCCTTCTGTCAAGCTCTGGTTTGGACCAAGGCTTGCCTCAGATCCTGAAAGCCGGGAGAGTTTCTCTACCTTCCCTTCCACACGTTAAGGAGTGGAAACACCCTGGCATTATTTTTGCCGTGAGTGCAATCACAGGGAGAAGCAGCAATCCTGTCTGATGAAACTCCTTGCCTGTACCAATTTACCTGGCACCTACTTTTCTTAGGTGCCAGGTAAAGCATCTGCCTTTCCAGACACTTGGGGATCTTCAGAGGTTTACAGTTTGACTGCAGTTTTTTGCTTCCTTTTAAAACTTGCTTTTAATTGCTGTTGTTAACTAATTTAGGGTTTCAGGTGTCTTACTGCTGATTGTTCACTGCTGTTTGATTTATTGCAGAGTTATGGCACTTTTTATTTTATTATGTTTGCTTACTTTTGTTGAACCTGGGCTAGGAGACAATCCAGAAAATTTATGTCCTCCCCAACAGACTCTTCCTATAGTCTTGGAAGAAGGAAAAAAAGACACTTAATATGGTAGGGGGGAAGCCAGTCCCCGTTGTAAGTGCAACGTTTTCTTATTCTGCAGCAGAAAGAAGACAAGACAGACTTTGTGGCCTTTAAGGCTAAAGCTTAAACATGAGCCAATGGCAGTTTGACTTTTCACAGAACCTGGGGGAGTCTTCCCACTAACATGCATCAGTCCTGCAAAGGTGCAGAATAAGGGAGAGGTGCACCTACAGAGGAAACCCCGTGCTTCTGATAAAGTGCTTTAAAGCTACATTAGAAGCATGGAAAGCTCCCACGCGGAGACTTTTGTGTGCGTGTGCGTACATCTGCTAAAATAGGTATGCTGCTATGCTGGGAATTTCTAGATCAGCCACACTGATTTCCTTCATGCAGGTTCTATAGTCTTTCCTGGCCCCAAGTTGTCCCCATATGGAGGACAGATAGGTAGGTGATTAGTGTAGACTGCTGGGCTGTCAAGGGATCAAGATAGGATAGAAAAGCAGTTCTGGTCTCCACCTGGTGTCAGCAGAATCACTGTCAACACCACATTGTTATGTTGTCCTAAACTGTACCTGGCTGAACAGGATTACATTTCTGTTTTTCCTGCCTTCAGAAGCTGTCCCAAATGCTATTCATCTTGTTTTTAATTCCTGATTCCATAAAGCTGGATCCAGCCAGGTTTATCAATCATTCACACCTACACATTACTACAGTTTTTATTTAACCTGCCTTTTGTCCATGCAGATACCACAATCCTCAGCATAGCTTCCCCTTCTTAAGGGGACTCCCCCCTCCCCTTTACAGCCGCAGTAAAGCTAGTTGGATCCAACCCAATCTACAATTGCATGGAAGCATATACGCATTTAAATTCCTATTAAAATGGGGGGTCCAAAAGTCTCACTGGTTTTTTTTTTTAAAAAGGAGGCAGCAAATATTAGGTTACTTTTAAAGGAGCACCTGCAAACCATGCTGGGGGAAGCCCAACTGCCCCGGAATAACTCTACCAGTTTATGGATGTGGGTGACAAGTCTAGCCATGGCAAATTGTACTTGGGTTTTTAAAAACCATATTCCATGAAACACAGCCTGATTCCAAATGCATCCTGGGGTGCGGTTAAAGGGCACTTGGGAGTCTGGCTGGTGCCTGGATGGGAGATCTCCTGGGAACCCCAAATCAGCCCTGTGATGAGGTAACAGATGCAGGTCGCTGGTAAGGTGTGTAGACGTTTGCTAAACAGATAAGTGAAGAGGCCACCTTGGCTGGTTTACTGTGTCAGCCTTTATGACCAACTGCCTGCTTCACACCCAAATATTCCTTAACTCTGCACAAGAGATCTGGCAACAGTCAGGGCCCTAGACTTGCCCCCCCCCCACACACACCATCACTCATTTCCTCCCTTTTGATAACCAATAAGAAACCAAATGGATCTTTTAGGAGAAATGTTGCCCCCCCCAATACTTTTTTTACACATCCCTACCTAGGTTTGCCAGATCCCTCCTGGCAACTGGCGGGGGTGGGGGGGGGACTTACCAGGAGCAGGAGGGAGGCCCAGGCTACATCACCAGCAACATGGCACACACCGGAAGTGACATCATCATGTTGGGACATCCCAGTGATGCCCTGGCATTTGGGCAAAAAACTCTATGGTGAAAATAGCTTCTACCATAGAGTTTTTGCCCAAATACCAGAGCATTGCCCAGGCGTTGCCAGCATGATGACATCACTTCCAGGGTACACCTTCTACTCCTGGTCAGTCCCCCCACGGGCCAGCTGATCTGTGGCCGGGGCAGAGTCCAGGTGCGGGGGATCCCTGGCTGCAGTGCGGGGCTGGCGACCCTGTCCCCTACCCCATCCTGCAAAGGGCTTACTTGCTTCGTATCAGTTGCCTTTGGAGGACTGCTGCTCTCTAGTGTTGCCTTCTCCAGGCTGGCCAATCCCTGGAGATTTGGCAGTGAAGCCTGGGGAGGGTGGGGTTTGGGAAAGGGAGGAGCCTCAGTGGTGGGGCACGATGCCCTAGAATCTACCCACCACTGTCTCCAGGGGAACTGGTCCCTGTAGTCTGGAAATAAGTTGTCATTCCAGGGCATCCCCAGGCCCCGCCTGGAGGTTGGCAACCTTACAGACCCCGTCCCCCCTTTTCTGTGTTGCCTGGTCTTGTTCTTTTAGACCTGCCAGCAGGGGCCAGGAGAAGGGGAAGAATGTTCAGGCCTTGGGATACAAGGAGGTGCAGGCTTGGTCTTCATGAATCTTTCTTGCCTTTCCTCCTATGAGACCAACCTCTGTCCTGCTGACCAGAATGCAAGAGGTTTATGTTACCAGACTGGCAGAGTTTTCTCTAGCTGCAGCAGGGTGGCAGTATCAGTAATTCCCTTTCTTCACAAATTGAGAGCATTGATATAGTAGCCTGGGAGAGGCTGTGGCTCAAAGATGGAACATGTGTCTGGTATCCAGAAGATCCCCGTTTTAGTTGTGAGCACCCCCACTTAAAGCATCTCAGGCAGTGAGTAGTGGGAAAGACACTTCTAGAACTACAGTCACAAACAGCAACTTCTAGTCAGTTAGTGACTGAGCCAGATGGCCCAATAGTCTGGCTCAGTACAGAGCAGCTTCATTTTCAACATTTCCATAATCAGTACAAATTTAAGCTGAAAGAGCCATTTTATACATATCTCATAAAGTCATGGCAAAACCAGGTCACAGTGATCTGGAGTGAAGCCAGTGTGCAGAGACAGACCATGGGTGTGTTATTTGATACTCCTAGGGTTATTTTTGGGCAGCAACGCACAGGAACGGAGTTCCGGCTGGCTCCCGAGTTGGCCACGCCCAGCAGGAACTCATTAGCATAATAGGCCACACCCAACAGCAGAAACTCATTAGGATTGGCTACATTAGTGGTGTGTGGCCTAACATGCAAAGGAGTTCCTGCTACAAAAAAAGCCCAGGGTTTTGACAACAAACAAGGTAAACAGAATAAGAAGCAAAAGGTGGGTGTGGCTGGATGACCACTCTTCTGGTAACATGCTAATGAGTTTCTGCTGTTAGGTGTGGCCTGTTATACTAATGCGTTCCTGCTGGGCTTTTTCTACAAAAAAAAGCCCTGGATACTCCAGTAGCTCACTCCAGGGCAGACGGCTACAACTTGGGATTCAGATGAACACAGACCGCCAGCCATATTTGTAGCTACCTTTTGCTTGAGAAGATTTCTCTTTTGTGCTTTTCTAAGAAGGTAGCAAAAGATGACCCTATAAGAGTCTCTACTGGGGTGCCATATAATAACTGGTGGGTGAGACTCAGCAGGCTACAGGATGTGCCTTACCTCCAATCATGTGCCATGATTGTTCCCAGCCTAATTAGAAGATAACCCAGTCAACAGTGTGTTGCCTACTGGAAAATTTGGAAATATGTCCATCCAACAACAGACTAACCCTGCTATAGCATGACTCCCCACTTCCCTCCTCAACAGTTGACTCTGGACCCACTTGGCTCAGTTGGGGTACATTTTGTTAGGTGTCTTGTCTGATCATATTGGAACAATGAAAAGTGTTAATTAGAGCAGATTTTTAAATGTCAGATTTCAGTCTGCTACCAAGGGACATAAACTATTCCCGTGAGCATCTGGGAATTGCCTTAGGGAAGGAAGATTTTCTGAAATATTAAAAAATAAAACAAGTAAAAATGGTGAAATACTTTCTCCATGGAAGGAAGTTATAAAACAAAGTAAATACTACCTATGCAAATAAGAACTTGTAGATTGCCTAGTGTCAGCCCTTGAAAGTCAGCGCAGCCAGGAAGAGAGGTGTGTGTGTGTGTGTGTGTGTGAGAGAGAGAGAGAGAGAGAGAGAGAGAGAGAGAGAGAGAGAGAGAGAGAGAGAATCTAACCCGCGAGGTGCCAAGCCTGATTCCCCTGATTGTTCCCACAGACCATCCAGATCATGACTGGCTTCATACACATTAGCTTTGGGATCATTCTCAGCACCTTGACCAGTGTATATGCCTCATTCTTTGTGTCTGGAGAGATCCCCTTCTTGGGAGGAGCATCCGTGAGTATCATACGTGGGGCTGGACCAATCCTCCGGGTAGATGGGGAGAGCTGATGAGCCAGCTTCAGGGGAGAGCAGTGGGGTGGCCCATGAAGAGCCCCCTTGGCATGCCACGTGAGAGAGAGAGAGAGGCAAAGAGGGGCGTGGGAGGGGCGGCAGCCGCAGAAGAAGATATCTACAGATCTATCCAAGTTCCTGGATGGGTGATCTGATGAAGATTTTAGTTAATTCTGAAGCATGACACCATCCGCTGTCTGCCTGGTTTCTAAAAACAGCACAGATGATGTTTTTCATCTTTCAACAGAGTCTAATCCATTTTGAATCTTGTGAAATGTTTTACCTAAAAATACAGTGTTATGTTCCTAAATATGCTATATGGTCGAATGGACTCCCTCCCTCCCCCCTGCCCTTCAAAATAATTAATTTTGTTTGGTTACATTATTTTATTATAATCCTGGCATGTTTCTGCAAAAAATATTTTTTCTATTTTTTAAATAAAAATTTTATCCAAGATTTTGATCAGAAAATCTTCTCCTCAAAGGGATGACTATACAAAGTTTGTACTGGGACTCAGTGAATTCTAAAGAAAGGATACATCATTTGCCCCTAAGAAGCCAACATCATGGTTTTCAGATCTGTTTCACGTTAAGAGTAATTGGATACTTTCCTGAATGATATGTGAGTGTTTATACAATATCTACCAAGCCCCAAAGACACAATTCCTTTTCTGCACAAGCCCTTGTTTTCCAGGAAGCTGTGTTCCCCCTTTATTGCAGTGGCCCTGGGACTCAGTATTACTGAGATTTATGCAAGTGTAGGCTGTGGCTGGAGCACTTGAGAGGTAAACTGCACAGCACACACACACACACACATTTAATGAAGTCCTGATTATTTAAAAAACACACAAAATGCTCTTGGGAAACTAAGGCTGTAGTCGTACGTGCCATTTGGCGCAGAGGGGAAGCACTCCTATTATCTCTGGTGGAATGTGACTCGCAGTTGTGTGATCACACATCCCTTTCTGTTGTGGGCTCAGCGTGTCACTGCATGATCAGACGCCACCTTCGGCCGAGTGGGGGTGTTTTTTTGCCTTTTGTTTCCCATGTGCATAAATGAGGAAGCGAGCCCCCTCATGGAGGGTTCCCCATGGAGTGTGCAGTTATGCGCATACTGTTAAGTGAGGGGGGGGGAATGGCACTGAGTTGGGACGGAATGGGCAGGCCGTCGTGGCGGCTTGAGTGTGTTCTTGAGTGATCAGACAGGGGAAAGTCCGTTCGTGGCCCGTCAGCAGGCATTAAGACCATACTTTCCCTGGTGTCTTTTAACTCCGCTTCTGTGGCAGGGCAGCACGGGGTTCCGACGACTGCAGAACCTTTCCCAGATGCTGCTGTCTAATCATGCCCTTTAGATCTGTCAGGCATTCGCAGCTGAGTCAGATCTAAAGGCATATCTGACCACAGCCTAAAATTTTGACCAGATGACCAGCCAGATCACTCTTCTTCACCAGCAGTGTTTTCATTCAAAATTGCTCACCCAGCTGCTTTTTCTCCCTGGCGGCCTCTGCACATACAACACATGTACAGAGAAAAGCAGATGAGGGAGATTTTTAACAGGAAAGCAACTGGCAGTGAAAAGGTTAAACACACCCTTTTCTCTTCCCCTCAAAAACTGCAGGCTCCAGAGGCTGGTTTTAATTTGCCTCCAGGAGCTAAAATCTATTGTGAATTTACTACCCAAGGGAAACTCTGCAGCAGGCCTATCAATCATGGCACTGCTGAATGGTGGAAGTCGGAGGATGCAGCCCCACTCCTCCTCCTCAGACAGGCTGAGTGATCTGCATTTCCAAGGCTCCGGTCACACGGGCCGGATATCATGGGGGGGGAGGCGTGGCTAATTGCCCCGGCGCAGTTTGATCCATGATTACGCGATCAGACGCACCGGCGGCACACCACGGGTCTGTCCCTCCGCGCCGGCGGGTAAACGAGGGTGGCGATCACACAACGATCCTGCAGTGCGGCAAAGAAGCGGCATGGTGCGATCACACCAGCAATGGCTAGGCGCCGCTGCCGTGACAAACGGGGTCATTTTTTTAAAAGCCGAAATGGCACTTTCGCTTTCCTCTTTGTGCACATGTGCCGTTGTTTCCTCTTTGTGTGCATGCACCGTGCTTGTGCGCATCTTGTGGAGACTTAGGGGGAAAAAAACTTTTTGCGAAGGGACATGGGCGGGCGCCAGATGCCACCACCTGAAACGCGATCAGATGCCAGCCCTTGCCCCACGGTTTCCGGAAACTAGTACCTCGGAGGTACTAGTTTTTTACCCCGCATCCTCAGCGGGAAGCCTCGGGTTCGCCACGGGAGCTCTACGCTTCCCAGATGTGGCGGTGTGATCGCACCCGGAAAATCCGCCTATCTTCCGTCTCTGTAGCGTGGCTAATGCTCCGTGTGACCGCAGCCCAAGTGTATTTTGTCTATCAGAGTGTTAGATCTGAGACTCAAAGTGGCCTGACGCACTCCTTATCTGAGGCTGTTTCCTGGGTTTTAATATGTACACACAGTGCAACAAATGAGTGTTTTGTACAGGCTAGGTTTCAGTAGTAGAGCATCTGTTTTGTGTGCAGAAAGTCCCAGGCTGAATCTCTGATCTTTCCAGTTAGAGGATGTAAAAGACCTCCACCTGAGACCTGAGAGTATCAGAGCCAGTCTGCTGACAGCCAGTTTGCTGACTGCTGATCAGGTCTCCGGTTCAATGTAAAGAAGCTTCATGTGCCAGGGAGACAGCAATTGGTTTGGACTTAGGATCGCCAACTCTGAGTTAGGAAACTCCTGGAGATTTTGGGAAAGAAGCCGAGGGAAGGTGTGGTTTAAGGAGAGGAGGGACCTCAGTAGGATATAATGCTGTAGAATCCACACTCCAGAGCAGCCCTTTTCTCCAGTCTCTATAGTCTGGAGATCAGTTGTAATTCTGGGAGATCTCCAGGTCCCACCTGGAAATTATTTGGACTCCACACGGTCCTTAATTACCCTTCTGTAATGAGAGAAATGGCTCTAAAGCCATGTGTACATACTGTCAGACTCCTGCAGCAATCAGTTCCCAACAGCTTTCATTCAGAGAAGTAAAGTTTATTGAGACTTTAAGAGCACGCAGATATTTTAACCATTTTGTGTTAGAACTAAAATAAAGTGCGCAAAACAAACAGTAATACATTGTTCAAAGAGGCCCCCCGATGGCCCAGGGCCAATCAGGGACCAGGTAGAAGCTCGCCAAAGTAACGGGCTACTTTTCCCAAGAGAAATGCTACAGCAGGCACTGAAGGTCAAACAGAGGTAATAGAAACATAGAAGACACAGCAGAATTGAAACCTAACATTCCAGAGTCACCCCCATTCCCATGGCAGCCAGGGCTCGAGAGAGGCCTAGCTGGCATTCTGCCTCCCCAAAGATTCTACCCACCAGGCTTATTTGGATACATTTTGTGAAAAGCACGCACAAGTTTAGGGGCATTGACATGAGAGTCCTGCATCTGTTCATTATGAGAGGGGTCAAAGTCAGTCCATTTAATGAGATCATAAAGGCGGCCACGCTTCAGCTTGGAATCCAAAATCTCTTCCACCTCTTGGTGAGGTTCACCATTCATCATCAGAGGTGGAGGGGCTGGTGGTCGCAGACTCCACTTGTTTGGACCCGGGTCCCATTTCAGCAGACTGAAACGAAATACAGGGTGCACATCTTTAAGGGATTTAGGCAAATCAAGTTCCACAGCAACTTCCCCTACTTTACGTATCACGATAAAAGGACCAATATATATCCAACCCAATTTCCTTTTGGGCTGGAGCCCCTTCAAGTGTTTAGTAGATAAATACACTGAGTCCCCAGGCTGTAAATCCCACTCTTTATCAGCCTGGGATTTGTAATCCACTCTGGCTTTATCAAGAGTCTTTTGGATGACAGACCATTGGTCCTTTAAATCCTGCCACCAAATCTGGAAGTCTCCAGGCTCCAGGCCCAGGTTCCGTGCATCGCTCATATCCATGCATCGCTTTGAAAGGAGACAGTCCAATACACTGAATTATTATAACTGTATTCTACATAAGACAATAGTTAAGCCCAGTTATCCTGCTGGTAGTTGATAAAGCAGCGCAAAAACTGTTCAACAATTCGATTGACTTGTTTAGTTTGTCCATCAGTCTCTGGGTGATGGGCACTACTAAACCTTCTTGGTGTTTAGTCATGCCGGCCACATGACCACGGAAATGTCTTTGGACAGCGCTGGCTCTTCAGCTTTGAAACAGAGATGAGCACCGCAACCCTAGAGTCGGATTCGACTGGCTTTTGAGCAAGGGGACCTTTACCTTTAATCCCCCAAACCTGCAAGAGTTCTTTCCAAAACTTGGCCATGAACTGGGCCCCACTATCAGATATTATTTTTCTGGGCACCGAATGCAACTGCACAATGTGGTGCATAAAAAATTTAGCCAGGGCCCTGGCAGTTGGCAGTTGCTTACAAGGAATGAAGTGAGCCTGTTTAGAAAACAAATCCACTACCACCCAAATTACAGCATATCCTTTACTGGGTGGTAGGTCAGTAATGAAATCCATGGAGATAACTTTCCAGGGGTGACTAGGGGTTCCCTGGGGGCTTTCCAGGATGTCTTTTCCCCATCAAACAAATCTGGCATGATCCCATTTATTAAGAAATGCCCGCACGCATGTGCGGCCACCAAAACTGGCGCTGAAATAGATGTAAAGTCTTTAAATATCCATAATGTCCAGCAAGTTTAGATTCATGACCAAAATGCAACACCTCACCCCTCAGAGCATGTGGTACAAAGAGCCTGCCCCCCCATACCAACATCCATCCGGGTTTTTCTGGATAGAAGTGTCTTTAGCCATTTCCTCCCTATCTGCTTCTGTAAGGGCTTCTTTAAACTTAGTAATCCATGGCTTTTTGTCCCCCCCCCCTTTTCGGCCACAGTGCGACTCTGTGTCACCACCAGTCCA